TAAAAATTGGTAACAATGATTTAAAACATTTCAGAATATAAAATAAAAAAATATAAAAAATCTATTTCTTATAAGAATATTCATCTTGATTTTTCAATTTTTAATAAAAGATCCAGCTAGGAATGAGATTAATTAAATGATTAAATAAAATATTGAAAGAAAAATTATAATAATCAAATTCATAAAAATCAATACATAATTAAATGATTAGATAAAATATTGAAAGAAAAATTATAATAATCAAATTCATAAATCAATACATACTTTGAAAAATTATAAATCGTATAAAAAAATTTATGATGAGTTCGTGATTAATCTAAAAGAACGATGAGACTTTTGATTCATCAAACCGAGGATTTTTAGATGTTTAATTAATATTTTGAATATTTAATTGTATGTTGATGGAATTTAAAATACTTCAAGTATTTCTGTCACAATAAGAAATTTTGTAAAAATGCTGATCACTGATAAATTATTTTATCATTATATCGATAATTTTTAAATATATTGTGACATTTTAAAATACTTATTTTTACATATATATAATGGATATTCTCTTTTTTTTTTCAAGATATTCGCAAAAAACTCGATATCATGAATAAATTCTCTATAATATGTCTATAAAGATATGCGAGTATCCGATATTGCAGGTTTAAATTGAATAATTTAACATATTCAGTTCAGATTAATAAAAATCGAGCGGATTCGGGTGAATTTCTTTGAAAATTTGAAATAGTTTAAAACTAGTAAAAAATTGAAATATATTCATAAGGAAATACTATCTGAAAATATTATTTTGTTTAATTATATTAAATATTATTAAAAATATTGCAAAATACTATACTAATAAAAATAATATTTAATTTAATATTTGATTCATGAACAAATATTATTTATTGGATAAAAATAATGTAAAATATAAGAGATATATAAAGTAATTTTCATTCCCAAAAAACTTAAAAACAACAAATGATTAGATGACACGATGTATAAATGGATCTTACAAAAGCAAAGCATTGGAATACCAATATCAGATCCATTAAGAAAAATTTTGAATTGAATACAAAATTAGATGATAAAAATTATAAAGCATCTACTGATTAATTTAGACAATTTAAATGTAGATATTATAGAAGAAAAATTATCAGCTGATAGTTCCATGATTAAAGATTTTATTCAAGTTTTTACTAATTTCTTTATTAATTAAGGAAGAGTATATGATTCAAATCACATATATATGAAACTGCTATCTTTTTCAAAACATTATACTGTAAAATGTTTGTAACAGAGACTGAATCTACAGCATACATAAAATAAAATTAACAAAGATTGCATTACAGTTATGCCATATAAATGCTTCTAGGAATCACAAAATTGTTTTAATAATTATTGGAAAAACAAAAAAATCAATATGTTTAAAAAATATAAATTTAAGAAATTTTCCTTTCATTTATTTATCATAAAAAATTCATGGATGCATACTATTATATATTTAAAAATTGGTTTGAAAATATATTTTTGCATTCTGTTAAATCTTATATCAGATAGAAAGCGATTGTGTAGATCAATTCTTTTATTATTAAATTGAATACACAGCACATCACTCCTTCTATAAAAGATTTGCAATTTAAATGCGATTTCGTAGAAATGCTTTTTTTACTCTCTAATACAGCTGCTTCAACCAATACTGTACTATACTATAAAAAATAATACTTCTTTTTTTGTTTTTATTTTTTTCCAATATATTTATTATTTATAAGAAAAACGCTGGTGATAACATGAATATTCTGTTATATATATATTTTGAATATAATATAATATAATATATTTTGAAAACTATAATGCGATATAATACAATAGTACAAAACATCATAAATGAATGGACCATTTCAATAAAAAATCTATGCATTTTGTTCTTACTGTTGAAAATAATTTATTAATATAATATAATATATAATATAAATTTCATTACGTTTGTTATTTTTATTAGCATAAATTTTATATATTTACAATTTTAAAAAATAAATTCTTAAATCATAAATTTATCAAATACTATATTTACTAATATTTACTAATTTTTTTATTCTAATTAAATACTAATCTTTTGAATTATTATTACAGTAACTATCTTCACTTTCTAGATCAAGGCTATCTATTATATCTTTTATTAATTTCATAATCTTCCTTTAATTTTTCTACATACGAATAATATAATAATAATTTTTCTACTTATTTTGAATTATTATCTCATTAATGCATATTTGTGTGAAATTTTTAAATACTTATTATTTATAAGTATTGAAATGTTTCTTTTAATTTCAGTTCAAACTAATTCAATTGGATTCAATTCACATATATATATATATATGTCTTAAAATGTTAATTTTAATTTTAAAATTTCATCAATTTTGAATGTTCCTTCTTTTTATTTCTTTAAATTAATTTGTATAATAATTAATAATAATTAATATTTTCTCATGCGAAATGTTATTTTCAAGTAACTATTTCGATATCTTTTTTTTTTGTACACTATATTTAAATAATGGTACATAGTACACATTTTAATATAGTTATATTATAATTACAGATTTTTGTGAATATTCGATATTAATTTTTCAAATCATTTTTTAAAATTAAATTAAATTTATCTGTCTGTTATAGTGTGAATTTAAATATTAATAGTGCTTTTATAAAATTTTTGCACAATGAAATTGGTGAAGAAATTGATATTTTTCAAAATACATAACTTTTCTTTATTTTGAAAAATTCAACATATTGTTGATACATATTTCATTAATATAAATTATATTTTTATTTTGATTTCTATAATACTTTCTAAATATTTAGGTCATCAAGCTATGCAACATTTAGCTACTCTTTCAATGAAAAATGTACCATTCTCTCCCATTTATATATAAGCCATATTATTCTTGAACAAAACATCTTATTATACAGATTAGTCTATTTGTTGAAACTGTTTCTTTTCTTTAATGTAATCCGCATACTCTATATTCAGCGTTATATGTTATAGCATTGTTATATGTACTTAACTTTTTCTTTGTCTAATTTTTTTGTGTTATGTGAATTTGTGTAAGTTCCTACGTGTTGTTTAATAAATAAAAATTATTTTCATTAATTGATTAACTGCATGTTTATATTATGTATATTATGTATCCTACATCCTGTGCAACACTATTTTTTCATGAATTGTTGTTAATAGATCTCTGAATATGATTTTTTCATCATGTAAATAAAATTCATAAATAACATTATTTATTTGTCCTCACAATAATTCTTGAATTTTTTCTCTGAGGATGATAGCTATTTATTTTCTTCAAATTAATGAATCTTCTTTTTGAATTCTAGTTATTGTTAAGACTGATATATCATTATGAAGATTCGCTTGTTACATGAAGAAATTGTTTCTTTTTTGTTTTTTTCATCATATTTTTAAATTATCTGTTGTATAATGTTTCGAGCGCCATTTATGAATCGTTTTCTTTTTTTTTTTTTGAAATGGTGAATGCGTATGGCAAATAGATGGCAAATGAATTTTCGTTAGATAAAATAATGAAATATAAAAACAGAAAAAATTATGAAAAACTCTATATGTATAAAGTCACTATAAATATGATTAATGGAACGACCAAGATCGTTCATTTACTGAGCCATTAGTGAAGAAATGAGACAAAAATTCTTGGAGAAAAAATAATTGATATGTAATGTCCAAATATAGTACAAATATACAGTCAATACATGAAAGACTTGGTCGATTCACTAATATTTATTGATGGAAAAAACAAAAGAAAAAGCAAAGAAACAACTGAACAATTAAGATAAACAGAAAGATGAAAAGGAAAAGACAAGTTTATAAATTAGCTAATAAGTGGCAGGAAGAAATATGATTGATAAAAGAAAAAAAATAACAACTGGATAAATACACGATGAATAAAAGTGAATCAAGGAAAGAGTAAGAGATATAGAAATGATACTTAAAATAAAACAAGTGAGAAAACAAATGAAAAGTAAGAAAAGATAAATGAAAATGTAACAAATAGAAAAACTACAGAAAAAAAAGATGGAAGAGAAAAGTGTTTAAGGAGGAAAATATGATATGAGAAAAAGAAATTCTTAGAAGAAAATAATTAAATTAGAAATGCAAAAGAAGAGAGAAGAAAGAGTTAAACGAAAGAATAATATAATAAATATAATAAGGAGTTGAGTCTTGTAATGATTGAATGTGTTTCGTTGATTTGAATTTTTTCATGTATGAATGTATATTTGTACTATATTTGGACATTCGTGTTGACGTGTATATTCATTTCTTGAAGAGTGAAGATATTTCTCTCTATTTCTCTCTTGCTCTAGCACAGTTTTGTGTTAAGAAGAGACTTGTTTTTTTTTTTTTATTTATTACAAATATTATAAATGAGTATCTCCAATAACGTATTCATGCTTATTTTCATAATTACAAAATGCTAAAACCAAATCCAATCATGTCCACCACAAAAGAATCATATGATCACATAACTCAAAATGCAAACTTCTCGAAAAAGAATCAATTGTCGTCGATGCAGTAGATGGCATAATAATTAAAGATCATGTCTTAGCAATTTCTTAGAAAGTTTATTGGAAAACCAAATAACATGCGTTTTGTCTCAAAGATTTCGTATGGACGAATATGTTTATATCTGATATAATCTATATACAAGCTATTGTTGACTCTCTCATCGTGTGCACAAGTCAGTAAAAATAAACAATCAAGTTTAGAATTAGACTTTTAACATTAAACCTACCGTTTAATGACCGTTTTTGAAATTTCGTTTAGAATTTCTTGTATACAAAGTTACTGTATCGCCATATGACTTATTGATTTTTTCTATAATGTAGATACAACCCATTTTTCAATATTCACAACTTTCTATAATGTTTATTTTACGAAAAAATTTCATAGCATGTCTAGTCTACCATGAACGGCCATTTGACCGTTTGAAAAATTCATGTTATTTATACGACATTCGGAAGATGATCAAGAGTTTTTCGATATTGATAATGATATAGCAGAAAATAATTGTGATTTATTTGATAGCGATTAGGAAGAAGAGAATATTTTGAATATACGAAAAGAACAAAAAAGAAAGAGCTTCATAGTTAGTTCCGAAAGCGAAAATAAAGAAAATATTGAAACTGCTATAGACGGAACTGTTTGGGAAAAAATAAAAGGAGGGTATAATCGCGGAAGAACACCGATTTATAATATTTTCAAGGAAATATCAGGATCGACAGGATACGCTAAAAAAAATATCATAAAGGGCGGAGTTGAGTCAGCATTTTCCTTGATTATTGATCATAACATGATTGAACGTGTAAGAAAATATACTGAATTAGAAGCATTTCGAGTTTTGAAAACGAAATGGAAAGTATCAACTGCGGAATTATATGCATTTATTGGACTTCTATATGCACGCGGCGCATATAAGGCTAAAAATATGGATGTATCATATTTATGGAACACGAAATGGGGTTCGTCATTTTTCTCGAAAACTATGAGCCGAAATTATATGCACTTTGCAGAAATCATGAGATTTATTAGGTTCGACAATAAGAATAAACGAAGCCAACGCTTACAAAACGATAAGTTCGCTTTGATCTCTGAAGTTTAGTACAAATTTATCGAAAACAGTCAAAACTTTATAAACCAGGAGAATATGTTGTTATAGATGAACAATTGTTTCCTACAAAAGCACGTTGTAGATTTACTCAATACATGCCCAACAAACCGGATAAATTTGGCATAAAATTCTGGTTAGCTTCTGATGTGAGTAGTAAGTATATAGTGAACGACTTTCCATATTTAGGAAAAGATGAAGGGAGAGAATCATCGGTTCCCCTTGGGGAGTATGTAGCTTTGAAATTAGCAGAACCATATACGGGCCATGGGAGAAATATAACAACTGACAATTTTTTTTACAAACACGTCATTAGCGAGTAAACTTCTAGCAAAGAAAACTACGCTTGTTGGAACCATTCGCAAAAATAAAAGAGAGCTACCAAAATTAGCGAGACAGGCAAAGGATAGTATGCCACGCTTTTCAACAATATTATACAAAGCGAATGATTTTATTCTTTCAATTTATAAAGCTAAACTCAATAAAAAAGTATTGATTCTTAGTTCAATGTATTCATCTGTTGAAATTGAAAAAAGTGACACCCGTTTGCCAGAGAAATTAGATTTTACAATAGCACAAAATTCGGTGTAGATGTAACCGATCACACATTATTGTAGTACCAGAAAAATATTTTGTTTAATATCCAATTAGCTAAAATCTCTTTCTATATTAAGATATAAATGTTTTTTGCAGCGGTCATTTGACCGCTCATGGTAGGAATAGGTATGTCGGTACATGAAATGTCGGTAGATTTAGTGTTAATTTCTTCTGCAAAGAGAATCATTTGTTCGATTATTTCATATAGTTATCGAAAATAAATTAAATATAACAAAAAAATTACAAATTTCATTTATCCATGCCAGCCTGGATATAGCCATATATTGATAAGTTTTAGAACACAATTATACGTTGATCCTACGTTGAAAATATCTCCAAATTATCTGATGTATTGTAGATTAATTATGACAATACACTCTATAGGATTTACAATGTGAATAATTATAAACTCATACTTATTTATGTTTTCGTTATTATTTCTAAAAATCCACTAAATAAATTTTACTACATTTATGATGAGGTAGCATGATCTTTTTTATGTAAACAGTCTCTTCTTCGTGCAACATAATAGCTGAATGTTTTAAAACAAGAAGATTTGAGCTGTGAATATTAATATCGCTTTTCATAGCTTATTCAAAACGTTTTTGTAGTTTTCTCAGATCTACTCAGTGAGATAATATTATAGCAATTCTCTAAAAGTATTTTTTAAGAATCTTTGAAACAGTTCCGTATTTTACACTATATCATGTGGCATGCAATTAATTGTAGAAAAACAATGAATAATTTGAAGAGTTGTACGAAACAACAAATTGCAAGTATAATTAATAGATAAGTATAGTTAAAAATTTTTTGAAACTTGGCATTGAAAATTACGGGAAAATCAAGCGACTAATATGATTTTCGCCAACTGTAAAATGTGCAGTTTTAACGAAGATATCAAAAATGGCACATTCTGGAAGGTTTAAATACCAAAAATGTTTGCGAAAAAGTGTCATATTGACACTAAAATTTGTCGAAAAATTCATTTAAAAAAGTAGTATGTGAATGAAAAAAAATTTAATTTTGATAGGTTCAATCATTGTTGGCATGATTTGAGAAAAGAAAGAAGGATCATATCGCGGAGAGATGGATATCAGGAAAATGGATCAGTTATGGCTACTTTAAAAAAAATTTTAAAAATGAAATGGCTTTTGTAAACGATACAATGAAGCTGCTGATTCAATAGATGTTACACGACTATTTGTTGTCTTTTATAATATTAATAGAAGATAAAAGATTTTCCAGTAAGACAATGTTCCCATTCATACAGCATCCTCTACAAAAAAGTTGGTTTCAAGAGTTCATGATTGAGTTATTACGACGTTCAGCATTGAGTTTTGATTTGAACCCCATCAAAAATCTATATCTTTGCGAGGAAAGTTTATGATCAAGAGAAGCCGCCAATAAAAAATATTGTCGAATTCAAAAAAAAAATAAAATCTGCTTGGGCAGATATTCCAAATGACATCTTAAATAAACTATTTAGAAGTGTTCCTGATCTTACATGTAATAAAAAAATAAAGGAAAATACTAAATGAAAAATTTTTTAAAATTAATATAAGAATGAGTCTATACTTATATCTATATAGCTTAATTACAATTTTAAGAACAAATGCCATTTTTTCCAGATTTCTGAAAAATAAAGCTTTTATTTTTTGTTTGCTCACTTTTGTATTATAATATAAAAATGCATAAATGATTTCATCAATTTTTGTTTCAGTAATATGAAAAACTATAAAAATATAGTTGAGTTTATAATTATTCACAGCACTGTATATTTCAACGAAAAAATTGATTGTTTTTTGTGCAAGGATGAAGACTATCTTGCAAAGCATTACAAAAATATGGGTTCTTTATCAAGCCTCCTAATATTATAGAAAAGAATTCTATTTCTTCTCTTTCAAGAACTGAACCAGTTATTATACTTAATAATCATTATACTTAAGATTATTGAAAATTGTGTGAATAGAAAAGACGAATCATATGAAACCCTTCTTAAAAATAATTAAACTTCAATTAAATTTAGATTCATGTCCTCAATCTATTAATGCTTTTAAGTTTGGCATCAATGAAAACAAATATTAAAACCAATTCTCACATCTTCAACATTAAGAAAAAGTTCAACAAATTTAATCAAAAAAATTTAAATAATTTTTATTAAGTTTTATTGGATTCCGTCTCACAGAAAGATTTTAGGCAATGAGAAAGAGTTGATGGCTTAGTTAAAAAAGTTTCTCATGATATTGTACATATGATAGAATTCCATATTTCTATAATTTTTTCTTTAAGCATGTTTTGAAGATATTTAAAATTTATTTAATTTTTCCCTATTTCAGCCCATAAATTTTCGATGGGATTTATATCTGGACACTGATTTTACATGGAGTATTTAACATATAGGGTATATTGTATATGATCCATTTTTTCATGATCCATGCTATACGTTTAGGATCATTGTCCTGTTGAAAGTAGAAGTTTTCCAACAATCTCAACTTGTGGATAATATCTTTGAGATTGTTTTAAAATATGTAAATATTTATATTTATCAGTATTTCATCAATAAATATTAAATTCCTCGTATTATTAGCTGTCATGCAGAAGGGGTATCATAACTGAACCATTGTGTTTTACTTGTTGGATATACGTTTGGATGTCTAATTTCGTATTTGGTCTTCTCTATATATAATTTCGCCCATCCGAGTTAAAAATATTAAACTTAGACTCATCAGAAAATATCATTTTTTTTCCAAAAAGCATTATATTTTGTTACAAGTGTTTTTGCAAAAGTCAATCTCTTCTTTTGCTTATTAATGTACGGCTTTCTTCTTGATATCATGAAAATTATTATTTCGTTAGATTCATCGACAAAATTGGGGATGAACATCTTTGTCAAAACATTTTCGATATCATACTTGAAAGTATAGATATATTTATTTCGCGAATAATAATTTTTTCTTCTCTTTCAGTTAATTTTCTTGATCGAGTGAACAAGTTTCATTTACAATTGTTCATAGAATTTTTTTACGATATAATATATCATAGATTTACTTCTGTTTACAAATTTCGTTATCTGACTATGATGATTTCCTATCCTTATGCAGCCCAAGAATAGTTTCTCGTTCACACTTTTGTGTTTCAGGCTTTTTCTGATTCATTTTGAATATTATACCGTACACTTTTATGTTACTGTTAATAAAACGATAGCTTGACATCAATTTTAACGTAAAAATGGTCTCACTTAGTTTACATTTATGGCTAAAATGTATAAAAACTATCAACAACATAACAGCGTTCGAATACTTTTGTTACCTATTAACACGTTGACTGCTGCATCATCATATTCAGGTGACGCTTATTTGATTACTCACGAAGGATCTTCGTAGGTATTTGGAAAGATATTCCATTGGATATAATAAAACTATTGAATTGTTATAAAAGTAATATGAAAATGATTTGTTAAAAGAATTATTTAGAATGTAAAACTTTAAAGCATTTTATAAAAAACTGAGATTGGTCAGGACAAGTTGGACAAAAAAGTTGTTGTCTTCCTTAAATTTCCTTGTGCCTTTGATCGGTCCATTTGACATCGTTTATTTGAATAGTATAATTTACATGCGCGTCTAATGCTTATTCCAGAATCATTTTCCCGAATGGCAATATTATACTGACTCTGTTGATACTCTTTTGTTTTATTTGTATTTTCAGATAAGCCTAATAATTTTGCAGCTAATAATTCTCTAAATCTTTCAATTTTTACATTCTTCTTTTTTGCAATTTTGTAATCGAAACGTTTACAACTGAAATTGTAGAAGAAATTGAATGCCAAGTTTTCGATATCATTTGATTCCTTTATTATATTCAAAAACAGCTAGTGATTTCAGTTTTTCGGATGACTGTTGGCTTGTAGAAACAGCTTGTAAAAACGAATATTATAAATGTTTTTTGTACTTGGTTTCATGATGGAAGCGCGTTTTGTGGATACAATTCTCACATCACACTTTCCATTTGAGCATGACAATCTTGTTATCATCTTCTTTGGATATCATCTCTCCTTCTCTTAGTTTGCAATATAGAATAGAAGAATAGCTTTTGGGATGAATTTTTTGTTATTTCTTATTATTCCAACTATATGAGTCTTGCGGTTCAGGCATGATATAGCTAATTCATAGCTTGTATAAAAATTATCAATGTTCGTCCTTGGTAGAAAAGTTTCTCTGCAAGCTGTAGACATACATTCTGTGCCAATCCTCTTTCTCTAATATCGTCAGTCGACCTAGCAAAGTAAATTTTCATTGCCCATGTATATCCTTCGCTTGAGCATAATTTAAATAATTTGATTCCGTATTTGTGTGCTTTATTTGGTATATATTGTTTAAAGATGTCTTTCGCACCATGGAATCAACGTTTCATCAATGACAATGTGTTCTCCAGTGAATATTTTTTTTTTAGTTTGTCGAAAAATGGAAACATTTTTCTAAGCTGATCACAGGCAATGGACATATTATCGGCAAAATAAAAGTTACTCAGTAGTAATTCAAATCTGTTTCGTGACATAACGACACACGATAATTGAAAATTATAGAATGGGCTTTTCGACCAATAGTTAGCTGTAGAATTTACCTTTACAAATCCCATCCACAACATCAAGAATTTTTAACTTCAGAATAGTTAGATTAGTTGGTATCCATTTATACATGAAGATGGGTTAGCTTAATTAGCTTAGATACTTAATTTTTGTTGCGCATATCTATTTGTTTCTAATACAACTAAATTTATTATTTCGTCATCAACGAACAAAGCAAATACATTGTACAAATTAATATCGCTAGATAATTGCCTAATGAGGCCTATTTTGAAAAAAGAAAATGATTTTTGCTGACCACTAAATTCACTCCTTCCATATTAAATTGTATTGTACCTTCTTTTGTATCGCCAACTTTTCTTTCTTCCTCCATGATCAATTAAAATCTTGTAAAATCTCATTAATAGTATCTTCATTATATTTATTATCACTATAATTGTATTTATCAATATCCGAATCTTACAACGTAATTCTATTTATATTTCTCTTTCTGGGAAATCTCATCGCTATTATCCGAATTTGTGTAAGAGATTTCTTGTAATAGATTTCTTTTTCACTGCTATATAACTCACTAAAACATAACTCTTCCATTTTTCTTTTTGACATTGGAACGAATTAGGACAGAAATTTTAACACTTATATCACTCGTTACTCGACAAAGAATCAAACTGTTCGTGTAGAACGGCGAGATGATAAGCGAAGAACTCAGGAATATAACTATTCGCAAGCATTCATTACTGGCAAATTTATAAACAGAGATTTCGAGAAAGTTCATCGGAAAATTCCCCATGAAGATCCTTTCCTATTTTTATGATTAGTAGGCCTCTGTTGAATTTGAACAAAGAGTGATGTTTGCTGGAGGAATATTTTTGAGGATCTTAGCACTATGTTCCAGATATGGCTGACTCAATGACGTGGCATTATTCTGGCTCGAAGAGACCTGTGAAAGGGATGCTGCCACTTATCTTGAGATTTTTGTATACAGATCCATCACTCAAGAATTGTCTTCGAACTTGGAGGTGTCGCGAATCAGGCACTGACTATTAGTTATTGGTTCCACCGAAAACTGTGACCTTCTCAATTGAACTAGGAAGGATTTTTTCCGCGTTGGACACGATTATCTATCAAAAGAGAGTCTCATAGTGATCACATCCTAGTCTGACCGTCAGACACGATTACCTGAGATATTGTGAGAGACCTAAGACAAGCGCTCCACTTGAATAATATATAGTCCACAACTAAAAAGTATACTTGTTACTAGTTGAAAGACAGTCGTTAGCTTATATCCATCAAATCAGTACAATACTATTATTGAGGGAGCACGAACCACCAATGATTATTAAAATATCTGTGGAAGCATCTAGCAGATGCTTGATACAGCGGCGCACATGGAGATTTCGTTAGAAACACCCAGTAGTCAACGTGTTAATAGTGCATATTTATAATAATAAATATATTATAACTAACGCATAAATTGGCGAATCATTTTCAAATTTTGCTGACTCCAAATTTGCTCCTTTGATATGTATATTTCATTCAAAAATTTCAAATATAAGCGTTCAAATACTTTCATTATCCACTGAATATTCAATATCTCTTGTACGGATTTTATTGAAACGTTCAAAAGAAAAACTTCATGAAGATAATTATGTAACAATAAAGATCAATACAAAAGCGAGGATTTTTTCTAGCATTTCTATAGTGAATAGGGTTATTTCTAGTATTATCGTTCAAAGTTATCTTGTTCATCTATCAATAAACAAATGTAGAGCAATTCATTATCATTTGTCAGCTTCGCTAGTTTG